CCCTGGATGTGCTCACCAAGTTGTGCCAAGAAATCTGGAGAACAACCACTTGGCCAACTGACTGGAAGAGATCGATATTTGTTCCCATCCCAAAGCAAGGTGACCCAACAGAATGTGGAAACTATAGAACAATATCATTGATTTCACATGCAAGCAAGATTCTACTGAAGATTATCCAAAAATTACTGGAACAGCACATCAGCAGAAAACTGCCAGAGTCCAGGCTGGGTTTAGAAGGGTAAGTTGTATAGGAGGAGTTTATCCATCTTTCCCTCTCAGAGTTGCTGGTTAATTCAAAATGCCAGAGAAATGCCACCTCCCTATGAGCTACGCCAGAACCACTTAGGAGCTGCACTACCAATACAAAGGCACACGGTTCAAATCCACCAGCTGCTCTGTATGAGGAAGATGATGAGCAAACAACTCTTGTGCGATTTACAACCTTTGAAAATATGCTGGAGGGTCAGTTATGAATCAATTCTGATTCTAGGGCACATAACAACAATAACAGGTTGAAATGAAAATTATTTGACCCCACGTTAGACCAAGTCAATAGGATATTTAACTATAAATAATTTCTTAAAAGATAATTACGTAGAGCATATCTTGTATTAGGCACACTTCTAAGCACTTTGTTGTTGTGGGCTGTGGAGTCAGAATTGACTCATAGTTAACTCTCCAGTGGGTCTGTAAGGACTATAAACCTCATGGGAGGAGACACCCCTCTTTCTCTAGTGCTGCAACCCGTGGATTCGAGCCACCTGCCTTTGGGTTAACAGTGCAACTCTTTACCACTGAGGCACCAAAACTCCACTTTACACTTAAGGAATGCAATTTTTTACAAATAAGAACGGGTCTCATCTTCCTAACAGTCCTATGAGGTAGTTAGTATTATAATTACTTTACAGATGGGGAAATTGAGGCACAGAGAGGTTCGGTAGCTTACCGGAAATCACACAGCCAGGAAGTGGAGGAGACACTAAAACTGGTTGAAACACCACTTGGACACATGAGCAGTCCTTCCACACTGACTTGAGCTGGTTTAATGTCAGGTGGAGAACTTTCACACAGGTGAGCAGCAGGCCACGTTATCACGGGAGACCTGGAACCTGGAGGCAAATGGGGACCCCTAGAGGAATGGAGCTTCACTCCCTATCTTTTCAACTGGCGGAGTAGGAAATTTAGGGCATCTGGTTCAACACTCTGTTTTAACAAGCTTTCCAGGGGATTTTGATAGGGGATTGGCAAAGTTTTTCTCGGCATCAGCCTGTGAATGAACTATGTCATGGCAACTCAACCCTCCCTTTGAGCACAAAAGCAAGCCATAAGAATAAACAAACAATTACAAGGAAACAAGTGAGCATAATCACACAATATTATTCTTTTGATCTTTTTCTCAGCCATCTTAAAAGTATGAAACCACTTGTAGCTCAACCGCTATGGACCGTGGGCCAGGTCCTGCCCAAGGGTGTAGTTTGCTAATCTGCTCCAGGCTCAGGATTGGCCCCAAGCTTAAAAGATTAGGAACTTAACTCCTGAACCACCTGGTTCCCAAACGGATGCTCCTTCCACTAGGCTAGTCAGCCAGATTCCAACCTCAGGACGTTTAGAAACTCTTGCTGGGCCTCAGTGCCCACAACTATGAAATGGGTGTTAGGACCCCGTCTCATGTGAGCTGAGACACCGGGCCTCTGCTCTCAGTTGGTGACCTGGATCTCATCCAGACGTCCTGATCCCAGAGGCTCCATAAGGGCACCAGAATCTGTACTTTAAAAAAATTTATATATCTATATTTTTCTATTGGGGAGTTAGAAAAGAAATCAGCCCCTACACTGGGCCCTATTCGGTGGCAGCTTCTTGTTCCACAGGGTTAAGGAAGATTTTGAGGAAATAAACGTTGTTTGGAAAAATCCCGGTATAGTTGCTTTGTATGTTGTGATGGGCAGAAGGGATGAAGTGAAGTGTGAAGGCCCCTCACACCCTCCATCTTGCCTCGGACTATGTCCTGGAACCCTGGGGCGGGGGAAAGCGCCACGCTCATTCTTTCTTCTTGGGATTGTTGACGGCCACGTGGTGGTAAAGAAAGACAAGCAGGAAGAGCGACACGCCCAGCATGTTGGCGAAGATGGCAAGCTGCACGTCCGCGATCATCCTGACCCGCCGGGCTCGCCTCCGATGCTCACTGCGAGCAAGTTCCAGGCAGGAGACTCCCAAATCTGTACTTTTAGCAAACTCCCAGCGATTTCCTGATAGGTGGCCCACCCCCAGCCTGAGGAGCACTGAGCTTATGGAAAGACTTGAAAGTTGTGTATTGTATTAGAGCCAACTACTCCCCTCAAAGGGTCCAAGGACCATATGTGGGTGAAGAAAGAAGATGAGACAGATTTCTCATTGGTCAAAGCTACATAAGATAAGAAATGCAGTAAAAGAGTCAGGCCTAGGCAACCTAGGAGCTGGGAAGACAGTGGTCTTCAAGAGGCTAGGTTCACTCTGCCCTTTACATGCTGTGTGTTCTCAGGCTGATTACTTAACCTCTCTAGGCCATAATTGACTCATTTGTAATATGAGGGTGATAATCATATCAACCCCAGGAAGCTGATGTGAAGGGTAAATGGGATTCTGTATGTAAAGGACCTGACGGAGTCCTTCATGAGAATTCGCTGTCATATGATAGACTGGGATAGTGGAGCTTTACCTCCAACTTTAACCATCACAGTGGTCCCTCAGGGTCTTAGTTTAAAAAAGGAGCATTGGCTGTGCAAATGGTTAAGCACTAGGTGCTGGCCAAAAGGTTGAGAGAGAGATTGATGTCTCTTAGCTGCTCTGGGAGAAAGTCTTGGCAAACTGTTCCTGTAAAGATTGTTGTTCTGTGCCGTTGACTCGCCTGCGACTCATAACAACCCTATGTACAACAGCCCTAAACCCTGCTCTATTTCTTGCCAATCTTATTGTCTCTGACATGCCTATCCACATTGCCCCAGTGACTGACTGAATCCATCTCATCGAGGGTCTTCTTCTCCTGCACTGTCCTTCCACCCTCCCAAGCATGACATCCTCCTCCAACTACTGGTTCTTCCTTGCAGCATGTCCAAAGGTCAGGCAAAACTTCAGAATCTTTGCCTACAAGGAGCAGCCCTGGCTTCACCCTCTCCAGGATGAATTCTTTGTTCTCCTGGGATGAATTCTTTGTTCTCTTAGGCGGCCATGGTATATTCAAAACTCTTCTCCAGCACCACAGCTCAAAGGCATCAACTCTCCTTCTATCATCCCTAGTCATTGTCCAGCTCTCTGATGCACAGCAAGTAATTTCAAAGACCATGGCCTGTATCAGGCACATCTTAGTCTCCAGACTGATATCGTTGCTCTTCAGTACTTTGCAAAGGTTTCCGAATGCAGTTTGTCTTGTAATTTCCTGGCCGCTGGTACCAAGAGTGTTGATTGTAGAGCCAAGCAAACTGAATCTGTGAACAATTTCAATCTCTTCATCATCTATCATGATGCTGCCAATTTTTACAGCCTAGAACATGCTGAGGCAGTTCTCTGCCACACAGGGACACTCTGAGCAAATAACTCATTTGACTGCCCAACAACAATGACTTGGTGATATGCAGGTTCTTGTTCCGTTGGTGTGTGTGGGAGGGGGGAGGTGAGAATTTGCTTTCCCAACAAGTTCCTGGGAGCTGTGGATGCTGCCAAAGTGGGCACTACACTTTAAAACAGCCAGCGTTAGCAGTACTGTTGGGAGTATTTCTTATTTCTGATGTAAAATTCTGTTCCCTCATCCATGGAGGCAGTTAGCACAAAGGAAGGTCAAAAGCAAGCTCTCGGTAACCACCCGGCTGTCGCTGAATGTTTGCGATGGTGATGGTGGAGGAGTACAAGGGCAGGTTAAGGAAAGGCCCAAGGACAGATAGTCCATCTCCTCAGCACTGGGCACCCCTACTCTGAGCACCTCACCCCTGTTTCTCCTCCTCATCCTTGCCCCTCTGGTTTCCTGCTGACAAAGGGGCACCAGGTGCCCAGGCCCCCTCTTCACACACAAACACACCCTCCTTCCAGAGCAGCTTGTGAGCTGCGTTTATTTTTGCACGTAGCCAGGAGGCATTCTCATAGACAACCCTGTTAGCCAGATGCAGGGAAAAAAGGGGGGTGTTTGTTCAAGAAATTCAGCAGAGCCCACCCAGGGAGGGACACCCACAGAGAAGGGGTCCCCTGTCAGAGCAGGGAGCTTCCTGGATGAGAAGTTCTGGGCCAACTTGGGAATCTGACTTAAGTGTGATGACATAAATCCCTGTTCCTATTTTAGCCCAAGATTCCCCCATAAAAGGTCACTGCTGTTATCTGCACTTGAATTGACCTCCAACTTATGGTGACCCTATGCACAACAGAAAGAAATGCTTCTTGGTCCTATAACATTCTATGGATCTCTGAGGACTAGGCTGTTAATCTCCACAGGTTTTCATTGGCTGTTTTTGGAAGGATATCGCCAGCCCTTTCTTCCTAGTCTCTCTTAAAGTGGAAGCTCTGCTGAAACCTGTTCAGCATCGTTTTGTTGTTATATGGCATCAAGCCAAATACAACTCATAGTGACACTATGACTAACACATCTGAACTGTCCTATCCTGTGCCATCCTCACCATCTGGACATACTTGACCCCATTGCTGCAGTCACTGTGTCAATCCATCTCATTGAGAGTCTTCCTCTCTTTTGCTCTACCTCCACCATTCCAAGCAGGATGTCCTCCTCCAAAGAATAGCCCCTCCTAACAACACACTCAAATTACCTAAAACTAAGCTTCTTTGCCGTCCACGCCTCTAAGGAGTACTCTGGCTGCACTTTCTCAAAAACACAGCTATTTGTTCTTTGTCAGTCCAGGGGCTATTCAGCACTCTTCTCCAACACCACAACTCAAAGGCATAGATTCTTCTTCTGTCATCCTTATTCAGTGTCCAGTTCCCAGATGCATAACAGATGATCACAAGGCTATTACTTGAATCAGGCACACTTTTGTCTTTAAACTAAGATCGTTACTCTTCAGGACTTGGGACACATCCCTGACAGTAGACTTTCCTACTAAAACGATACACCTCCTCCTGATCTCTGGCTGCAATTCCTCCAACTGACAGATAGGTGGTAGTTGTAAATAAGATGTATTAGCCATAAATTAAACCCAGGTGTCCTGCATGGAATTCTGGAATTCTGCCACAAGCCAACACAGAGAGAGAGAGAGAGAGAGAGAGAGAGAGAGATGGTTAAATTAGATTGCTTGCATTTGACTTGATTGGGGAGCTTGTGAGAAAAACAGATTCCTAGATATACGCCAGCCCTACTGTTTAAGAACCCAGGAAAGCTTAATATTTGATGACACCCACAGGATCACCAAGCCAGTGAGGAAACAATAGACAAGTTCCTTGATCACAGCGACTCCGTCCAGCAGCCTCCCCTGATACTGAACACAGTCAGGCACAGGGAACAAAGAGGACCAGAGAGCTTCCCCCACTGACAGAGCCCAAGTCAAGTCTGTCAAGTGAACGAATGGGCTAATTAATTAATTGACTGATTAACTTTTCTCACTCTGAAAAGTGCAGGGTCTAAAGATCGATGGACATAATACATGTTCAGTAAATAGCTCTTGAAAGCAAGATGGAGGGAGTGTCAAAATTATGGTCTGCCTAGAAAGATAAGGAATGTAATAATGAAATCATGTAATAAAGGCCATTGGGACCATTTCCACAGGAAGGTTTGCTGTTTCGAGGGGTAACAAAGGCAGCCTGGCAGGGAGAAGCCTGAGTGTCATTCCTGTGCTGGTCCTACACCTGCCGGCCCATTTAATCACCACCACGGTCCCCTGCTGTGGGCATTGGCAGGTCCATTTATAAGCAAGGACAATAGAGAACTGAGGCTCTAGGATCTCCAGGGAGACCTACCAACTGCAAATGTGCAGGTCTTTATGGAACCACAGCAATGGGCATGGGCATTTCTGCCCTGGATCCACAGAGGGTAGGAAAGAGCACTGGACTGGGAGACAGAAGACCTGAGTTCGAGTCCCAGCCTGAGCATTCACTTGCCAAGTGGTGCTGGGACTCTGTTTCCTCACAGCCTCTTTTTTCACTTCCATCTTGCATCTTCCTGCATAACCTCACCTTGTTTCCCCCTTACCTTTCCTGGATTCTTCTCGTCAATGCCATCGTCTCCCATATTTAGCCCTGTAAGCTGCCTTACAGCATCTGTGGAACAAACAAGCAGATGAGCAGAAAGACGATAAAAGCAGCAAATGATGGTGTACCCTACACTTCTCTGTACAGTGGGTGCTCTGCCGGGTGTCTTGGACCCTCATGAGCGCCCCACCAGGTTCACGTCCAGCTTCAGCGTTGCCTCACTGGGTGACCTTGGGCAAAGTAAATAAGTTCCCTTAAGTTTGCAGTGTTGTTTTCTTGGCTATAAAATAGAGCTGTGTTTGTGACTGTTGTTATGAGTAAGGAGCCCTGGTGTAGTTTGTAACATATCAGACTGTTAACAGAAAGGTCAACAGTTTGAGTCTAATAGGAGATCCTCAGGAGAAAGACAAGCAGTAATTTCCTCTTGTGAAGACCCGGAAACCTCAGAAACCCGACAGAGGCTTCCCTGGGAGTGGGAATTGACTTGAGCACAGTGCACTTGACTTGGTTTGGTTTAGGGTTGTTAACAGGGCTAAATAAATGGGAATATGGTAAGCACCTGCCTGGCACAGAGTAGGCACACAGTCAATACCAGTAGCGGTCGTGGTTGAATAAATTCTGACCCACAGTGATCCCATGTGCATCAGGGCACCAGGCCTTACTTCCAATATGCTTCTGGGTGGTCTTGAACTAGCAATATTTCTGTTAGCAACCAAGTGCATTTTCACCATGAAGGATGCCATCCAACCAACAGTGTTATAATAAGGAACCAGGCACCATATACAGCACATAATAGATGCTCAACTAATACTAGTATCTTCATCTCTCCCTAAAAGGACGTTGGTTGCCGTGAAGTTCTGATGAGCTACAAGAGGCAAAATAGCACTGCAAAATGCAAAGCTCTATGCTCACCTTGAAATAGATTTTCCTTTCTTCCTCCAGCTTGAGTTATTAACCACCCCAGTCATCTGCTGGGGTGTCAGGGCTGAGCC